CTTCTTTTTTTGCCATATCAACTGAGCTTTCCACATACCAAGATTGATAGTTTTTGCCATCAAGTTTTTCAATTTGGTGACGTGAAGACACTCCATGACATACTTACTCACACCTAACACTTATATACGGTGATTATTATTGTTGTTATAGCCTATTCCACTTGTGGTAGAAGGCTCTATTAAATTTAAGCAACTGGGGACTTAAAATGCACCCACCCATTGCTAAACTAGCGTTGACGCTATTCTTAAACTTATCTGTCCGTCTGTCCTTCTTGCGTTTTTGTGATCAAGCTGTTGAGATATTTTGATGAAATTTGATACACCGGCGGCCACAAGCCCAAAAACACGAATGCTATTCAAAATAGCCCGGATTGGATCACTTTTTCGACCATAAACCCTTCTTTTGAAAAGTCCTTATATGACTAACTCTATTAAGAGAAAGTTATTTTTGAGATTGTCTTAATTTTAAATAAATTGGAGAACAAAGTTAAGCTTTTGCAAACCTCTGTTTCCAGTGCAATAACAAATGCAGTATCAAGCAGCCAGACACATGCACGGGTTGAACGGCTTACAGTTTAAAAGTTGCATAGGGATCTGTAAAAACGTGCCTTGTTATGCTTGGGGAGTATGCAACAAATAACGATGCAGTACTTGAACGATGGCTGAAATGACTTTCAACACCAACAATTAACCTTGACAGACATCTAGACGTACGTTCATGTACATAATAGCTACATTCCCATGAAACTAGGTTGCCATGCAATCATTTTTGTTTTTACTTATTATTTCATTCAATGCATTCGAACTTGACTGTTACGTTACCAATTATGGTGAATTACTTTCATTTATGTTTAGTTTTTACATTTTTTTTTTATTTATTTATTTTTTTTTTAGTTTTTCTTGTGTGTTAATGTGAGTCCTATGTAGGTCTCTTAGTGATTGAAGCATTTTTGTAGATAATCACAAAACAATTTCATAAATAAGATTATTTAGAGTTGTAATAAAATATATAAAAAGAAAATGTGTTCGGTGTTTGTATTATTAAATTAGTTACTACCATGCCAGGTAATTTAAAAAATGTTGAGATTTTTGACAAAAAAAAAGGAGTGGGGACAAATCTTCAAACGTCCGGGTATGTTCTTCGCAACTCGTCAGGTTGCACGTTATTCGGCTGAAGCATGTTGTTGAAGAATGTATATAATGCGAAGTGCAATACACAGGCAGTATGTAAAGCCTGTCGATCGAGGTCACAATCCGTAAGAAATTTATACTACTAACGGACAAGATCAAGGATATGTCGAGGTGCAAGTTTCCCTGCAAGGCAAACAAATAATTTATTAGCTCAACAAATAATTTATTATAATTTTTGCTCTTTTCTTTTCTTCCATCAAGGTGGTGGCGGTGTTGGTTAGTTTTTCGTGGGCGTCTTGGACCGCATTGCAGACACCATTCTTTTCATCAAGAAAACTCTCGACGAAAATCATTTTCAATAGTTTGATTGTTTCATGGGCATGCATGGAATGCATTGCAGACATCATACCCAGGAAACATCTAGTTCTTAAAATTTTGCCGTATCCAACGTTAATTAGAGGAACATATGATGGAATGATTGACTTTTATATTGTCTTGCAATGACAATCAGGCAATATGTATATAATCCATATATGTATACATACACACTTGCCTGCACGTATACACTCACTCACACACGTACACAGAAATATATATATATATACATATATATATATAATAAGTTCTGCTAAGCACTGCTTCTATTTTTATAAAACATTGGAAAAATCTATTGTGTTGGATTCCTTAATAGCTATCCTGCGTCTGCATGGCATCCTACAAACTTATTGAGTGACGTATTATATGTTATTTAATAAACTTATGTATATGGCTTGCTTTATTGCACAAGTATTACGGTTCAAAGACTCCGTCAGTCACCGCTTTCTTATTCTCAATTTGGTTTATTACAAGTGTTCAAGTTGTACGCTATTATAATGAAAATGCTTAGCGACCTTTTCAAGAGTATAGCAAGAATTTCTCATGCGTTTCGCAAACTTCAAAGTTTGTGGTTAAGCGCCAAAACGTCGAACGCTTACTGAAAGTTGGCAAAGATATTTTAACGTTTGAAACGTATTTTCGATTAATGATATCACAGTAATGGTACGCACAATACGACTGCAATTGCTATGAACCTCGTGAGATTCTATTGCATGCTTGCCAGCGCCCTATATAGTAAGGCTTTTGTGGTGGAGCATTATTAATTCTTATCTCTTTAAATTTGCCACCAGAACGCTTATTACTGTCAGTGATATGAAGCGTTAGTCATTACTTGTTACTATGTAATCGGAAGGACTATTTGGCGACAGAAATTATTTCATAAAATGATTTAATGAATTTTTCTCACATTCCTTTCGCTTACGTAAAGCCTTTTACTGGTGAAAATTTACGCCAAAGAAAAAAGAATTAAAGCTTTGGAAGTCTTCGAAATTTTCTGGTGCATTGTCCATGAATTGCGTATGAGAGTTGTTCAAATTCGAGTCATCGATTCTTATCGACCGAAAAATATATTCGAAAATTAAAAATCACAAATATCTTATCACATAATCTTAAAGATACAAACAAAACTGTCGGGCATCTTAGGTGCAGGCATCCCATGTTTAACGCGGTATTTGTAAGACACCGTTTCGTTAGAACATGATACGAATTAACCTTGTTAAGCAAAAGACATATGTATACCTTACGTCACTTGAAATTCGCAGAACGCCAAAAAGGAATTAACACAGATGCGCCTTTCATATAAGCTTGTCTGTCCGTTTGTCCGACTGGTATTCTTGCACACAGCCTGCAGGTTGTACTTTTTAAGATATTAAGACGCAATTTGGTGCATCGACGAGTTTCGGCCCAAGGATGAGCACTGTGGAAACTGCATCGAATCGGAGCAGTTTTTCAACCGCTTCCCTTAGAACGCTTTGTTTTGAAAATTTGTTATATGAACACAAGTCTATTAAGCAACGCACTGATAAGTACGTAAGAGTGGGCTGTGGCCGACTTCAATATAGAAACACAAAACACCCTTTACGCAATTAACGATAACCAGACCTTTATTTATTTCTGAACACGCAGCCTAAACTAAACGAAGCGTAAAAATAGAATTCAATTAAGGTTAAATTTCAGCCAAAGATAAATATAGATTTTCTTAAATTTTCTTCCAAACTCTCTCACACCACATAAATAACTTAATGATCACTTTACTTAGAAATGAGATCAATTTCAATTTATGGAACATTAAAGGTCACTAGAACAAGCAAATGAAATTTAACACTTTACTAGAGTTTCACTTACAAGACAACGAAAAATAATATATATATATATAAGAAAAAATTCACAAGAGCGGCTACCATGCCTTGTGCCCAACATAATGAAAACAATGTTCAAAATTGAAAACAAAATAAATTTTTATCCACGCACTACATATGTAGTGAGCATGCATGAGTAGAAGAAACATTTCTGACTAAAGTGAAATGAAAATAATGAAAACATAAACGTACTTATAACGTTGTTGTTATACTTATTGCAAAGGCACACATGTATATCTCATGCATACATACGTACATGTGAGAGATATTATTAGTGATTGGACATTGTATGATCAACTTTGGTATAGTTAGTTAGTTATCTTCAGCTGCATCTAGCATTGTTCACAAGATGTTCATAAAATACTTGTGTGGGTTTCTTACGAATGACTACGCATTATGGCGAATAAATTGGATTAAAATGCATGCACAGTAGACAAACGAGCGCCTATATGTATACATATGCATACATAACCGTAAGCAAGCCAACCATTCAGTCAGTCAGTCAGTCAGTCAGTCAGTCAGTCAGTCAGCCAACTCTATATATTGAGGGTGTCATTGCAGCAGTCTTTGTAGTTGTAATTTATTACATTTTACTCAGACATCATCACACACACACGCAGGGACTGTTTGTCTTTATATTAAAGACTGGCGTAAGCATGACTTCATTTCGAAAGGTTTAACCGCAAGAGATGCGCAGTTTACTTAATAATGAATTTATGAATGGGAATATTTTTAATGTGATAATGGCTTTCAACATACAAACATACAGAAAAGAAACGCAAAATAAAAATAAACACGAACAATGAAGTAAGCCCTTTAAAAATCTTAAAATCTAAGTATTATAGAAACCAAATGTAGGACAGAGCATAACAACGCTCTCCAATGGGGACGACATCCCCTATATGTGTAACACGGCGACAGTTCAGAAAGAAGAGATAGAGAGCCTGCCGAGTACCTGTATGCCCAATCGGTAAAAGTTTTGCCTATACCCACTGAGCACTCATCACATCCGCGATCAAAAGAAACTCTAACGCGAAGACGGATCTTGTGGACGCGATTCATACCTTCTCAGTTATTCATGTGGATCGCATATGGGACATTGGTGCGAGTGATTCTGACCTTAGATCAGGTGTGCCTTATGCATGATCCACGAATTTGTATTTCGTTAATCATGACAAATAGTAAGAGAAAATTCAAGAACCATATAAACTTCGTACGAGGTAATTGACTATCATTCGCTTAGTTTATTGTCAATTCGATTCACATAATTCGTGGAACATAAGGGGGAGGTTATTAACGATCCTCTTGCTTTTAACTATTCGCGGACGCGTTTAATAAATCAAACGTAACAGATGTTCACCGAAAATAAAAAAAACCATTGCGTAGGGACGGAGGATTTCTACTTTACAATGCCACATGTGCTTTAGCACCCCATTGCCAAAACGGTTTTTTTTTTCTCGACGGCTTATGTCTATAATGTTATAGTGAGTCTTTGATCGTATCGAAATTATTAAAGTTCCACGCTTTTTGTTCACGATTTTTATGATCTTACATATAGCACTATTGCGATCAATATCACTCTTGAAGCACACTCATTTGACGAACTCTCAGCTTTCTATGTAAGTTTTTCCTTACCTTAAGAATTCCGGTTAAAGACGAGCAGATATTGAATTAATTTAAAACACTTCTGTCTATCGTGTGGATTGTGATGAACACTACAAATATTACAAACGGAATGGAAAAATTAATACACTTCACCTTTTGGATAACAAGCATAAAAAGTATAATATGTGTGTCACTGTGCTATGATAACGTGAAAATGAAGCAAAACAGACGTTTTATTTATTAATGATAAGCAAATCGTATAACACAACATATAAGATAAGTTCACTCACTTGGGGCTACAAATGCAGACTTACTACATAGCGTTGCAATAAATTTGCTAAATTTGAAGAGATTGCGTTCAAATATTGAGCGTAAGCATAACATGAACAAGTAGTTGTGCGTACATCTTAATAGCAGATAAGAGACGAGTTTAAATGAGGAAACGAGAAACGAAAATTTTCATTTTATGTGAGAGATGCTTCTCAGATTGTGCATAAATCGTTGAAAATCTTTGATGGAGACTTGAAAACAATTCAAATCGAAGCAATTAACTTCGACGAAGTGAATAACTATCGTGGAATTTTAATAGGTCTGCGAAGAGATTTATTTTGCAATAACTCAATAAAGTCCTAATAGCCAGACACGAGAAAGTGAACGTAGATTAAATCAACAAATTATATATAGATCGAGGTAGTGCTAAGATTATCTCCACCTAGTTATTTAAATCAAAGGGACATAATCTTTTCTGAGAAGTAATGCTTCGTAATGCTTTTCTTAAACTTCTTTTAGACGGACTGATGATTATAACTTGGAAACGTGAAAAGTAGGAGAAAATGCAGTCAATATTTTAAACTTGGAATTGACTAAAAAGAGATTCCTTATGACTTTACCAACCGACAACCTATTAAACGGCTTTTAATCGCCGAGACCTATTAATAGGCTAGACCGATAATAGGCTTTTTTTCATCGACGCTTGCCACACGACAGCTTACTAATCGGTTGTTTAACGCCGACATCTACCGACCGATAGCTTAGCTTATTGAAGGGGTTTCTGTCGCCGGGGCTTACCGACCGATAACCAATTGATCGACATTTTGTCGCTGATGCTTGCCGCACGACAATTTATTAGTCGGTTGTTTGTTGCCGGTACCCACCGAACGATAGCTTAGGTTATTAATCGGTTTTTGTCGCCGACGCTTACCGACCGATAGCTTAGCTTATTAATCGGTTTTCGTGGTTCTAAAGAATTCCAATAGATAAAGTAAATACAATTTAGCGCTAATGTTACGAAAATAGAAGACTTTATTATACATAATAATCCTTATAATAACAGAAAAGCAAACAACTGCCTGGGAGTTCAAGGAAAACACGGATATTTCGTGCGATACTTCAAAGGGAAATAGAGCCGACGCCAGGGAGAAAATGCCACTTGGAGGGCGGCCATCAGAGTGTTAATATTTCAACTAGGCCAACCTTGAAAAATTACGGCGATGATAGGGGGAATGATAGGCAAAAGAAACCCTTAACGACGTGAGCAATGATGAGCAAAAAAATAATCTGAATATTTAACACTTGAGGAATGACGAGTCCAAAGGAAAGCAACATAAATTCAATATTTAAAACTTCGGAAGTGATAAGTAAAAAGCAAGCTATTCACTATTTAAAATTTTTGAAATGGCGACTAAAACTAGAATCTTCGAAGTATAAAGTTTGGGAAGTGATGAGTAATAACAGCTTAGGAAGTGGTGCTCGTAATATTTACATCTACGAACTTACTGAGACCAAAGTTAAATGTGAGAACATTGTAAATGGCGAGCAAACAGAGTGTTGCGAATAATGAGGAGTGAAAGAAAAGTGTTCGCAATGCTTCGATCCTGGCAAAACCAAGATGGAGGCAAAATAGATCTTCAGTATCCCAACCTTGTCAAAACTAATATTTTGCAAGCTGGCATATACAGAAGTCAATCAAAATAGCATTAGCTTGCTACTATGATTTTGCCTAATACAATTATTCTTTTTCTTCTTCATCATAAAGCATAAAAAATTGAACATTGCTACCACATAAAGTTTATACTTTTCATGAAAAGTTTTACATAGGGTGAAATACGAAGAACACACCACACGACGTATGGACGTATATACACAATGTGGTGAAAATTCTCTATTGCAAATATATGCTTCAAATCACTTTTCTGAATAAATTTTTAAATAATTAAAAAAATTAAAATTGCTTAGTTAAAGCTTCATTTTTTATAAGAATATTCCTAGGAGCGTTTTGCCGAGCGATGGGATTGCAAAATTGATCGACAACACTTTTCCAGATTCATGAAGTGTTATAACTCCAAGATACTATTTACAAACAATTTTTCTAAAAATATGTTAAAATTTGTACAATTTTTGAACAACACGATCGAGAAAATGATCGGATCTAATTCATTTTCAATACTCCTCGATGTCTCAATCTATCACTTTCATTCTCATACTTCGAAAAAATTAAATGATAATTTGGGCAAAAAATGCACAACCAGACATCAAACGGACAGACAGACGAACAGACAAGCACTCATACACACACTTCGAAGATGTGATTCTGAATCGATTGGCTTAGGAAACGTGAATCTATTTCAAGTTTCGAATCTGTTTGCCGGCTGTTAGGCCTAAACTTAACATAGCCTTACTATAGATGGTGTAGTTAGGTTTTTAAAAATTTTATTTAAACCTAGTCAACGCATATTGCTTTTCTATAAAGAATTTCCTGGCAAGACTTGCTTAAGGCCAATTAAATCGTTGAACACTAACTATTTATTGGAATTGCGTTCATATTTGCATGTTCCTCTTTCAAAAGTCATCAATCAATCATTTACTCAACGTCTGGTTTATTCGGTTTAATTCAAAATGTAATTTTTACTTCATTTTTCTGCAAAATGTTATGAATGTTATACAAGGTGTGCAGGAAATAATTTTCAAGTTGCTGTGAAAAATTCCGAATTCTCGCCAGAAGAGTTAATTTCATTTTAAATAGCAGTTGGCCACAATAGAAATTTTGTTGATTCGAGCCTAGAAAGCATGAATAGATGGAGAATTGCTTTGACAATGAACGCAATGAATAACCACAAAGATTAACTTAAGATAGTTGATTGCAAGTGTTGTGCAACATGGACATGCAAACACATACATATGCATGTACTAAAGTGACAAAGAGACAGAGGCATACAATAAACAATTAATGGCAAAGCGAAACGGGATGGAAACGAATGAAAAACAAAAAAAAAAAAAAAAAAGAAGAAAAAGAAAAAGAAAACCAGAAACATTTTTGAAAAAAGATCAATTTATAGACGCATACTGTATGCATGTATGCATGTATGTATGTATATGTGCGTCATTGCATGCAACTTGATTGGCAAAATTGGCAAGGATCATAAAGAGTTGGACAAATGCTTGAAATTATTGCAGGTGGTCTACTATGGGGAAAAGACAAACGGACGGACGGACGGACAGACAATACTATAGAATGCTCGATAACTGTAGAAAACAAACAAACAACAACAACCAGAAAACTTGAAGACATTTCAAATGCAGAAGGTGCAAGGAAATCGCACCGTCAACCGACACACAAACGCATATATAGATGTAATACGTGTGTTAGTTAAGTAAGTGTGCGTTGTATCTATTCAAGCAAAACACTGCAGGCGGTAATTTGTGAACATGAACTTCTTTTACATGTGTGTGATTTAATGTATATACAACTATGCATCTACACATACGCCTGTGCAACGGCTAGCATATGATTGCCCACAAATGCGTTGGCAGTCTGAAGGAAAAGTATATGTAAAAGAAAACTAAAGTCACACAATTTGATGTCATTTATAATTTAATGGTTTAAAGTCTGTGTGTTTTTTTTTCGAGCCTTTGCTGTTGTTATTGGTGCTGCTGCTGGTGCCACTGCTGCCGGTTAGATTGGCGTGGAAAGTATGGTGAAAGATATTACTAAACACATATTTACGAGATATCTACTAGCACTTGTGCATACGTACATACGTACTCGTACAATTTTATTCATCACATTTACACATGCTAAAGCAACTTTTCATTTTTTCCTACATATATATATATATATATATATATATATATATATATATATATATACGTTTTCCTATATATATATATATGTATTTTTTTTCTTACTTAATGTTGTGTATTACGGCCACACAAGGTCATTGCTGTTGCTTGGCTTAGGTTACATTGAGGTCAAAGTTTATTTAGAAAAACATTATTGTTTCTCTTTTGCATTTATTTGTCATTTGACCAAATTTATAAACAACTAAATGAATAACAAAAAAAAAAAAAACAAAATGTTAATGAAAGTTGGTTTGTTTGTTTGTTTTTTTTTTCTTCTTACATTATTTAAAAAAAAAAAATGAAGAAAATAAAGAACATATGACCCAGTTTTACCGTAAGCAGTTCAAACTAGAATAAAGACATTCCGAGACGGTCGGTAAGTGGATATGTGGGTAGTATTGGTTTTTGCATACTTTCTACATAATTGCGTAGATCAGCCACTCAACTATGTGTTAGAATAACTTTACTATCTTACCAATAAATGCTGTACGTGGTTACTGTCAGATTTACTCTAAATAAAATTGAATTTACTTCAGTTTATAATAATAATTCTACTCATATTTGCTGGCTATACGTTTTTAAGATTAAGCGGACATGGAAAAAACAAATCTTGTTGTCTTCAATATCTCGGTTAGATTTTGAATACAACATCAAATTTCTTGGCAGGAAAAAGCTTGTCAAAGAGCAACATGTAGTCTAACTGTGGTTTTCTTCTTTCTTATGCTGCTTGAGGGAGCAACTTTTATAAGGTCGAAATTCCAATATTCACTAAATACACTAGATAGACTTGTAAGCTGACATTAAAAGTCGCATGCGACTTACGATATATTTTTAAAGTCAAATGAAATAACTATTGTGCGCATGGAGCAAACATACAAAATACTTAATCTATACAAATGCATTTCTGGCTATCATGACAAAGAGCTATACACGTGCTTTGGTTCGCTGTCCCACTTGCCTTTTTTTTAACAAAACAATAATAAGTTAGTCACGATTTTCTAAATTTTGACGCATACTTTTTGTCGGTTAAGTACCTCGAAATTCGACATCTCCGAAATGACGAAAGCCTCATAGTCCAATAGTCCTTTGTATTGCAAAGATTTAATTTTTCCTTTACCGGTTTAATGCAGACGTCTTGGTCTATTTTTATACCCATCAACGGACTGTGGAGGGTGCATTCATTTTACCAAATCGTTTCAGAGACTCTACAAAGTAAATATATTCTCGATCAGTATCGAATAAGAATTAACCTTGTCCGTCTGTCCATCTGTGAAATATCTGTTGACAACATTCCTTCTGAAGCCATTGATTGGCAATTTTGCAGGAACATTGGAAATTCTTGCACCCAGGTTGGTACTGAAAATGGTCTAAATCGGTTGACAGTATCACGTAAACTGACAACAACTTTATTTTATTTTAAAAGGAATAAATTATTGATTTTTCACTGGTTACTGGTAAACTACGGCAGATAAATCTACAAAAATTTGAACGAACATTCTAAGAGTAGTGCTGTAATATCTACATAAAAAGGGGGAAATTAGCCACGCCTACCCAATATTATAATGTATTAAATTTCAATGTTTTTTTCAATACCTGTATAATGCTCAAAAGCAAGTTCCAAGGGCCCCACAAAGTATATATATTTTTAGCCAGTTTCAGATTCTGAATGCACCTAACCATGTCCGTCTGTTCGTCTGTCCAATGGTGTAGTATCGTCCCCAAAAATGAAGATATCGCCTACAAGTTTGCGTAAAAGTTTGAAAAAGACCTAAACCGATAAAATGACACGCGTATAACGCCCATATCCTCCTGCTATAAACACAGTCAGTAACTTTGCTTTCCATGTTTTTCACTCATTATTCATAAACTGCAACAAAAAGCCCATATAAATTTCACTTTTATTCCGAATATAGAAAAAATCGGTGGTACCAGCCCAATACTATAAAGTATGAACATTTAGTTCTTATCCGTTTGTTTAGGGTAACGGGGATAAAGAAAAAAATTCAATCACTACCGAATATCATTTTCTTACTTACTTTAACTTGTTTTCATCTCAGCGTAGAAGATTCCAATTGACATTTCCAAATGTCCAATCATGCTGAAAATTTGCACACGGCTTTCGTTCCGATGAGGGCGCACTGTCAAGTATAGGCATAAAAAAGAGAAAAAATAACTTTTTTATATGATTTATTATTTATTACATCTATAAAAATATTGCTACCGAATTTTATCATCTTATCAGCATCCAACTTAAATATCTAAGGGTCGTTAGAATGACACGAACTTATCAATTGAACTATCACTAGTGAGTGCAGCGAGAGTCATAACTTATCCTATTTTAATGTTTCTCAAGGGAGTTTGCAGTTTGCCGGATGTTGTCGTACTAAACGCCCTCACTGGCATAAAGCATAGAAAAGCTCACAGCCGTAAATATTTGTTTTCCTTTCGATATTGAGGATTCCCCACGTTCCGACAATGCATTTTAAAATTTGACATATTCTTGCTAATGTTTTGTTCTTCATATTCGAGATTTCGACTACAAATAATGTTGAAACGATGTTACAATTGATATGCAAGTAAGGTGGATGGTGCTACTTTTTCGATTTCTTTCGTCAATTTTCTATTTAATTTTCTATAAATTTTTTCTAATGTATTTATCAAACTCAATCATTTCACTTTTATCATTTTTTTAGTTTTGGCTGAGTTTTTTAACATAGTTTTTTTCCACATTGTTTACCTTTTTCATTTAAAAGTGCCGAATAAAAAAAAACAGGCATCAATTCATTAACGTTCAAAATCGCACTTATGCTTATTTTTCCGTTATTTCTAAAGCATACTTTTAGGCTTGATAGTTTTGATAAAGCAAATTTCGAAAAAAAACAAAAACAAACATCGCAGACTCAAACCTAATTGGCTTCCCAATAAACCTTTAAGCAGCCAAATGGTTGTTTACATATTGAAAATAAACCGACACGCAATCAAATGAATCACTCAGACGACAGCCAAAAATGTTAATTAAATTTACAATTTTATTAACTGGGTTATGCCGACAAATATACGCATATTCTATGCTTTTTTTTATATAGATGCTTTACATTTCGATGATGTTTTCACCAATTTTTACGAGCATTCGCCATCCTGGATTTCCCTCATATACGTGCATTTAAATGAATTTAAATGTTTAAATGAATGAATGTGTGTGCATTTTTTAACAAAATAAACGGTTGAATTGAAAAAGGGAAGCTAGTAAATGCAGCGATGCCGCCCTATTTCCACAGAGAGGGTTTATATAAACAGAAATTGATCAATCAATTTAAAATTTATTCTTTTAGGTAACTTGAATTCACTAAGGGACTTCAATTTATTTATTTATTCATTTTTTTTTTTTTTCAATGACTTAGACACTATTATTTAATTTCAGTTTCAATAAGATAAAATAAATTAATTTTCCTTTATTTATATCTGTTTCGGACGGCACATGTTCGAATTGTTAAATATATGTAACGCATGCAAACACATGAATGATCGATGCAAACATATCGATCTGTCTATCTGTTGATTGTCTGTCTGCTGTAACCACAAGCAAAACTTGTAAAAAAAATTATTTTTGAAAACCAATCTTTGTCTTGAAATGTTCTGCTTTACTCTTTAGACTGAGGCTACGAAGTCTATGAGATCTGTCTATGTTTTGTCCCACAATCCCAAATTTGTTCTTCATTCCAGTTTAGAAACATAAATTGGATATTTTCCCTTAGTAAAATTTCCGCCATAACTTGAAAAAGCAGGTATGATTTGAGAAATATACGGTATATGTTATATATGTCATAATATAAGATATCCTTTGCTACACATTTACCTCAAGTATCGTATCGTATGCAAGCGACTCGTATTAAAAGATGCGACCAAAACTGCATATAACTTCTTTTCTGTCCATTCTTCGTCTAAGTAGCAGTAATTAAGTCTCGCCGTTCTGGACTAAAATGAGAATGCAAAAGCAATTTCTTTATACCCAACACCACCTGTAGTATATATGTATAGTACATTAAGTTTGTCCGGATTTATGAAACAGAAGTGAAAAGCACTTGGTATAGAGCCAACTTTTATTATACCGACCGATTTAGAATTGCTTTCGTTTGTCCGTCTGTCTTCTTTTGTTTTATTCAACCTACAGGCCGCAGTTTCTGAGATATTTTGACGAAATTCGATACACTGACGAGTTTTTTGACTAGAAATGAACGCTATTGAAAATAGCTCCGAACGGAGGTCCTTATTTTCGACCACTCCACATATAAAGCCTTATTTCCAAAAATCGTTATATGAGTAACTGTATTAAGCGAAGTGATGGGGGGCAACCAAGTGTGGGCCACGTTCCTCCTTAGTGCGTTCATATGTTTAGATTAAAAAAATATAAGATGAAATGAATGTTCAAAAATTTATAGAATCATCTCTGCACATTTGCCCATTATTTAGAAATTTTCCTTTTTCAGAGAGGTTTTCCTTATTACTATAGGGGAAGAAATAAAAAAAATTTTTTTCTTTTCCTTTCCAATTGAAATGAAACAAGCAAGAAAATTATATGCGTAGTCGATTTTTTTCCATTCTTGTGTAGACACTGTGGAATCAGTTATAGAATATAGTTATAGAATACACCTGCAAAACGTTATCATTGTATGGATTGTAGTGGAAGAAATTATGACTGAGCAAAATCTCAAGAGGTGACGATGTTGATTATTGAAGTTTTACAGTAAGCATACGGTTTAAATAAGTTGGCTTATCTTCATTACGAATATGTACGTAGGAACATCCAATGGGTTCGGGAAATTTGAAGTCATGTCATATCTGCATTTTTGCGAAGAGAAAAATGTTTACTGCGGGCTTCACAAAGACGTACAGACGGAGAGATTGATGCTAATCAAGAATACATGCCCCTTATATAGGTCCTATGAATCGCTTCCGCAAACGTTTTGACAAAACGAATATATCGCCATCCTCTTCAGCGATAAATCTAGAAACGTTTGCAAAAGAATGCACTCAAAGAACCTTTTGAACATTTTTCTGATAATAGATATAAATGAACATTAATTTTGGTATTAGTTAATTTCACGCTATTTACGTCTTGATTAAATTAATTAAATTCGTACTTTGTAGTGAAGTGTAGTACGAGCAATGTTGTACAAATTTAAACAAAATTCTCATTGCTTTTATAGCTTAAATAATTTCTTTAAAAAGGGTAATAGAAACTTTATTCATCTTTAGCTGATTGATTGGATAAGAAGCATACAAGAGGCACGAAGCTGTCTGCTGGGATAAGAAAAACTATTCTTATCCTTCCTATTAGTAACAGTGCTTTTCAAATTGAATATAACTCTCTCTCTCGTATGCTATACCGATCACCAAAAAATGGGATAGAGACGGCGTCCCTCCAGGCGTGCTCTACCAGGAAAGCCTATATATGAGATTCGCCCCTTCTCTTCGTAGATCGAAAACATTGCGTTTATGCATAAATCTAATGCGCTTTAAATTAGTTCCAAATGTTTCGAATTTTTCAGTGAAATCCTCTTGTCGTTAAGTAAGAATCGACGAAAGTCTCGCTTCGATCGATAGCAATGGATGATGTCAACAAACCGAGAAACAGTTTGGAGATGAAAATCCTTTGAAAAATTACCATAAATGCATACTTGCTTAGCGCTCCTTTGCCGCTTACGAGGCATGTCTATCTATGTGTTTTGGAGTGCATTCTTCACAAATAAAAAGGCGAACTACCTCGGAAACTTACATTTTTTATTCGTAGTCAAAATTTAATTTTAATGCACCGCACCTTACGTATGACTACAAAAGTCTATAGCCCATACTTGTGATACGAAGGTATACTTGCACCAGATTTGGGGAAACCCGTCAATCGTCGCAGTCGCAAAAATGAAGGCAGCGAGTTGAAATTTGACGCAAGTGTTCCGTAATCGATTAAGAATACGAGGTTAAAAAGAGAGAGAGAGGGTGTTTACAAACTCGTTCACAACGCAGAAGGGATTAAAACATCCTCAGAGAGCATCAATAATTTTGCATATTTTCGTCACAAAGTGGCTCTGAATCGACCTGAGCTTGTCTGTCCATCCACTTATGTTGTTTTCTTGTGTTCAACCTAAAGGCTACAATTTAAGAAATAATTTGATGAAATTTGGCGGACTAACAACTTTTGACCTAAACACGAGAGCTATTAAAAATGATTCGAATCAAACCACTCTCGATATAATGTCTCATTTTGAAAAGTCATTGCATCAAAACTGCAGGGTTGTGTATGGTATTTAAAGGTGGGTCGTGGTCCAGTATAGTGCTGTTAATATGCAGCACTTAAAATTCACCAATTCTTGTAATACAAGGGTATATTAAGTTTGTGCAAATGTATGCGACACTCAGAAGAACTTGAGAGCGATCCATCTTTTACTATACCGATCGATTCAGAGTCACTTTTCCAATCAATTTCAGCTTGTTTGTCTGTCCTTACGTCTGTTTGCTTGCATTTGAACTACCGAACGCAACTTTTAAGATATTCTGATGAGACTTGGTACACCGACATGACTTGACCCAAAGATGAGCTCTATTAAAACTGGTTCGGATCGCAGGGTATGTTTTTATTGGTTTGTTTGTCCGCATAAATGTTTATGAAGAAAACATATTCCAGGAGCTAATTACTACATTGACAGTTAATAAAATTGGAAATACGGCTGTTCGAGATACACTAAAGGTATATATAATTTTTTTGCATATTATAAGTTGACCTTTGATCTGCCAAGTGAATAGGCCTCTTTCGATTCGTACTAAAAATGAGAGGAAGGCATGTTACTTTTCGTGTAAGAGAAGTATTGAACTAATTTGATTTTTTCCAATATATAATGAAGTGTAGTAAAAATCGTGGGCGTTTTTTCTTTTAGCGATTGTGAAATGCATCGTTACTGTTTCGAGCTATTAATGCAGATGCATATGTATGCAATTTGTGCAAGGCATGAGTAAATTTTGCTATTACTATGTATTCATTAGATACTTTTCGTAAATATTCATAAGAATCTTATGCCAAGAGAAAGAGAAAAATAGAGAGAGAGAGAGAGGGAGAGAGAGAGAGAGAGAGAGTAGAAAAAACTCA